GCAGTCCATCAGAGACGGCTGAAGGAGGCTCATGAATGTGCCAAGGCCTATGCTGAGAAGAAAGCAGCAAAGCAGATTGAGCTTTCCCATGATAAAGTGTATTGCCCCACCATTGAGGTTGGTCAGATTGTATACCTGAGAAATCGACCCCTGGGAAGGAATAAGATACAGGATGCCTGGCATCCGACCAAATATCGGGTGATAGGGATTCAAGGGACTACTCATACCGTGGAACCGGTAGAAGGAGGGCCCATCAGGAGAGTGAATCGGGTGGATCTCAGACCATGTGTGCACATCCCTGATCCCGTGGCTCCCAAGAGGGGTGCTGAGCCTAATCTGGAAGTGGATGAGGCTTCGACAGGGGAAATGGAAGATTGAGAGTTCGGAGGAAGGTATAGTGCTCTTGGACTGTACTGGCCCAAATGTTGATATAAATCTCACATGCACTGAAGCTGAAAACAAGATGGGAGCTTCAGAGGAATCTCCTGGTGATCCCACAATTCCGGCCAGTATAGAACTTGGGGAAGGGTCTCAAGAGCAGGGTGGGGTTCCTAGTTTGCCCCCACCTCGAAGGAGTACCAGATCTAATGTGGGTCAACATTCAAATCCACACCATGAGCCTAGATCAGCCCTTAGTCACAGTACTGTTTCTCAGATGATAGCCAATTTGGGAACCGTGTTCTTTAGAGAAGCGGTCAAAGAGCTAAGAAATTCTTACACTGTCACCGCGGACGTTGACAGGTTGGCAGGGGAGAATGTAACCAGGTGGTATTAGAGTGTGGGGCACGCAAAGAGTGTACTTCCCCTTTAAGAGAACGGCTGCTAGTGATGACGGGCTAAGAGTGCGCCCCGTGTGGTGAATCTGAGTATTATCTTTGATGTAAGTTGAGTGATATTGAATTATCACCTGTTATTTGTTGAACCATTGATTAAAAATCGCTCAAGATCACAACCAAGAAAATCTAAACAGCGGATTGAGTTAAAATACCAAAATAAATGAGCAAATCTAAAAAACCTGATTCTGTGTCAATTGATTTATTGTGTTAACTGGCAACATTGACAAAACTGGATGCGCCGGTGCCACTCTCTCTCACTCATATAGTGAGAGAAATTCACCTGCGATCCGAGCGGAGAGGTTAGGCTACTCACGGACTCAATATGAGCTCTGCAATAATAACGTGATTGATGCCTACAGTCCACGCTGATTGCTGTTCCAGGGCAGTTTTTTTTTAATCTCCATCTCCTTTTATCGTTCCCCATCTTCATAGAGAACGCAGTTCATGGTTGCTCAGAGTGCTTTGGAAAGAAGGTGGAAATGGCGCGGCCGCAATTCCCACGCATTTTTTAGATGCTGGGAGCTGGGAAATCTATATAGAACGCCTTATTGTAGTAATATATTGTAGTATTGTATTGTAGTAAAATATCGATATTTGGCGCCAGATATCGATTCTCGTATCGCATGAAGAAGGACAACGATATATCGTCATATCGATATATTGTCCCACTCCTAATGGTCAGAGTCAAGCTGCATTACTAGACTACGGCAGGGCAGAGGTTGAGCCCCTTCTACAACAACCTTTTGGCAACCTTCTCAGAAAGTGAGCACATATTTCAGATTAGAGATCAGGTGCTATGTGTTTTTTTTTTTAATCTATAACATGTTTAATGTTTTGAGCAGGGCTGTCAATGGATTAAAATTATTGATCGCGATTGATCACAGCCTTTTGTGATAGATAAACATCCTCTTCTAAATTATGCACTCAAGCAATTCAATCAAGGAGTGTGTTGGTTTGGGTGAGTTTGCAGGTTTGCAAATAAGAGTTCTTCTTGAGCCCTATTCGGACGGTAATTGTTTCTCATGGGGACGTAAGTGATTTTCACCATTTACAGGAGGTAGTCTGTGATTTAAAGGGGTCATATGATGCGATTTCAATTTTTCATTTCTCTTTGGAGTGTTACAAGCTCTTGGTGCATAAAGAAGAGCTGTAAAGTTGCAAAGACTAAAGTCTCAAATCCAAAGAGATATTCTTTATAAAAGTTAAAAGAGTCAGCCATGCCTACCTAAAACGGCTCGTTCTAACACGCCCCCATGTCTACGTCACTATCTGGGAAGGTTTGCATAACGCCGCCCAAATGTTCATGCAAAGAAAGAAGGCGTAACTTTTATTCTCGCTGTAGTATTGTTGTTGCCGCCGCCATGTCGTGAAGGCGCTGTGTGTTTCGTTGTGAAAGCGAAACTACTTTGTTTGGCCTTCCAA